CCGTTTCCTCCCGACGAATAACCAACTCCGCGAATTACATAGCTCGCGACATTATAATATTAAGGAAATAAGCACTAATTCGCCAGAGATATCGATATTTTATTACAGACCGTGTACAACAGATTTTATAACGCTATATAACCGAGCTCTATAATACCGTTGGCGATACCTTCGTGCGGCGTGTTTCGTGTTTCGTAATGGGTGGAATTGCAGGAAGTGGTCGAAGAGTATAAAACACGTAGTTACTGAATTTCCAATCTTACGTTCGACGAAATAAGGACTCCTAATTAAAAATCGCGCTCCTTTTATCACCGCTTCGCATCTACGCTTGCCATAAACTCGTTCGGCCTGACGTGTAACGATTAACGATATTTATCGTAACCGTGATGTCAAATTATTATTGCTATTGTTGTTATTTATCACGACAGAGAACTGCGTTTTAATAAATATTTCAAAAAAAAAAAAAAACAAAAAAAAAAAAAACACGTGTCGTTTTTACATACATCGGCGAACAGCTATATCGGTGTCGACTGATAAATCATTTAATCATTCGCGGCGAACCTCTTTGATACGTTCGTCGCTTGATTAAAATGCATCGCGGCCTGTCACTTTATTTAGATACAAGATAAACGTCCCCGATCCAACGTGCCGGTAAATTAATTAAGCAATCACTTTGAATCCAGATTCAGCTGCGTGTAACGTGACGTAACATCATCTTATGTGACGGACAGATGAAAAGCTGAATCTCCAGTTTGATTAATCTCTAATTGCCTGTTATTAACACTGGCGATCGCGGTAACGTAATCAATCTAATCACTTTCCATTATCCATGCATCAAGCATCAATTGAGAATAGTGTTACATCGCATTCACACTTTTCTTTCACACGCATTATTACGTTTATATGTCACACGTCATTTCTGTTATCTGATATTTTCTGAACGAGACGTGTCAACCGCAAAATTGATTTTACGATTCGTTCTTAATTGACTCGCCGATTGTCAACTTGTGCTACTTTGATACTATCTTATTTTACTGTTTTTTATTTCGTTTTTAACGACAATAGTAAAGTTTCGATATCAACAGCAAGGAAAAACGTGAGGAAAAACGCTTGGATTTCTATTGTTAGACCATCGATCATTAATTCGAGTGAAGCGTTAGTCACGTAAAAATTTCCTTTACACAAACATGATTACTTCCAATTGTTTTACTTTTTCTTCCACGAAAGATAAACGGCGACAAAAAAAATTGATGGAAAATAACGCGATTGAAAGGTACAAGAACACTATCGTACTGTCGTCAAATCGTTGCGAGTATTATTATGTCAAACTAGCTGTTACAAAAGAAAAAAAAAAGAAAAAGAATTAATTAACTGTCCCTAGAAAAATTTATCAGAGAATTTCTCCTTCGTCTCCGGCTGACAAGTTCGAAAATCGAAGACAGGCTCGTAAATAACATGAACGCCTCTCGTTCGTTGACGGTCCCTCAAATTTTCACGCGGCTCCGTTGAATCTTTTGCCGCATTGTTCCCCGACGCATATCGTTTCGAAGCGTGCCAGGTCAAACTTCGTGATCGATACCTGGCTGAAAACACTTGCCAAACTTGTCGCGGAATACAACGCCAGATGCGGTTTAATGCTCCACGAATGCTTCTATTTAGCGAGCAAACCCGATACGATTGTGCGTTGTTGATTGCCAAGCGGACGAGAAATCAGATTACGAAATATGTTTCTTTCAATTGTTTCTTTCTCGTTGTTCGTCTCGCTAAGAAGAGACGACAAATTTTTCTTTCTTCGCCAACAAACGACTAGGGAGAAAGGAGACTATTTCGCGAATTTCGCTCGAAAGAAAAAAAAAAAAAAAAAAAAAAAAATGAAACCGCTGCTTCGTTTCTTCGTATCTTCGTAACGCATCAAATAATTAAGGAAAGGAAAAATCTGCGGACTGTCGTAAGAGGCAGAGTAATCGTCGCTCTTGCTCACGGGCGAACAGTTTGCTCGGAGGATTATTAAAGTTACATAGCTGTCGACGAACAGTGTTCCCGCGGACGAGGAGAAGGCACGGTTCAAGGTTTCCTCGCGAGCCTTGAACGTAATTCGTGTAATTAACTCAAAGCGCGTCAACGTCTTTCGACAGATTTTCGGTGCCGCTGGTGTTCTCTCTGCCGAGAACGCCAACATTCTTCGCCCGAATCTGCTCCAGTATTTTCTCCTTATTCATTCGTCTAACAGGACGAGCAGCATTTTTACATCGGGACATTTTACATTTACAAACATTTTCAACAGAGTTCTTTTAAAAGTCACCACTTTGAAATTCCTCGATATTTTAACATCAGTATTTCCCGATATTCCAGACAGATCGTTTCTATCGAAAATTTAGAAGATTCGAAGACGCGCGTCGAAGTAAATCAACTTATTGGATTGTCACAATAATTGACACGTCAAATCGATATTACATTTAAACAAGATATAGATATTTTTACAAAGCAAGGTAATAAACCGGCAAGGTTAACGCAAGGAAACGATGGTAGTCGTAAAACATTCTTTCTCTCATTACCGTGGAAGCGTATATATTTTCTTTTTCCTTTCTTTCTTTCTCCTTTCCTTTTTTCTTTCTCTTCTTCTCTTTTTTTTTCTATTCAGCGGTCGGACAATTTCCTTCCTTTCTGCTTTTACTATAAACGCAGCCGTTCTGTTATCCTCTGTAAATTACTACGAAAGCAGATTTCTTTGCTCATTCATTGTCTGGAAATTTCCACAAAGTAGGTTCCCCTCCTCCTCCTCCTCCTCCCCTCCTTCCCCCCCCCCCCCGCCCGCCCGTAGGTTTTTATTTTGTTACAACCTCTTAATAAAACGTTTTTTGCGCGGAACGTTTCACGGTGGAACTGGACGATTTAAAACCCGATTAAGAATCAAAGATTCTACATGCACGCGGAATAATGAAAATATTAACGGTCGGATAACGGAGCGGGCCGGTATATAGTTCTCCCGAACGGTAGGTGAAATTTACTTTACGATTAAGAGATTTCGTAATGAGATTTCCTCATTGAGGTTGACACAAAGGAATTTTTAATCGATAATCCCAGCGCTCCCCGGTAATTTTCATGCTCCTTCGTCCTTAAGAATCCAATTTTCCAATTGAATTTTGCCTCGACGAAGAACTTTATCGCGCGGTCGCGCGTCGTTAAGTGTCCAAAGATTTAATAATAAGATTCAGGCTCGTGCAGGTGAAACGCGGAGTGTCCGAGTGTTTCGTGGAAATCTGTCGCTTATTCTCGAATGGATAGTACACTGGGGTGTTCCAGTATCGGTAGCACAACCAGGAAGGAAGTGATTCTGTATGAAAAAGTAAGTTGAAAAGTAAAGAATAAAATTTTTTTACACAAGATTCAGTTTTTGAGAAAAACGAGGTCCAACTTTTAACGAAATACATTAAAAATTGATTTAAAGGAAAGAACGAAGTATCTTACAAGAAAAAATTCTATTCTTTATTTTCGATTTGTTTTTTCACGTAGAATCATCCTCTTTAGACTTTCAGTACTATCGATACTTGAACACCTATATAGAAAAAAATAAAATAAAATAAAAATAAAAATAAAAACTACTGGCGTCTCGTAGGACCTCGCGAATTAAAAAAAAAAAAAAAAAAAAAAAAAAAAAAAAAAAAAAAAAAAAATTACTCAACTTAATCCGTGTCGAGTGTCACGTTAATTTTCCATTTGACGCTACCACCTCCGACACGAAATCCTCCTGCCGTTGGCAGTTTCTTTCTGCAGAAGAGACTGTTCTCGGCTCGTCGAGAATTCCAACCGGCGGACGCCAAGTCCCGAAGGCCTAAGCGCGTCTCCAACGATTATAATTATTGCGCGTAGAAAAAGGCCGCGGGGGGGCTTTCCAAGCATTCTGCGCGCAGGCCAGGCGTAATGGTATTTTCGCGTCCTGAAAGCCGCAAAAACCGGGGACCGCTGCCGGGAAGAAGCTTTCGGTCCATACTTCTCCTTTCCATTTGCTTTTTTCTCTCTTCCCTTCCCGCTGTTTCAAACACGCACGATCCCTTTTTTTTTTTTTTTTTAATCATCTGACGTATTTTGGCGAATCTGACTTGCGATCGCAGTTTCGAGCTAAACATAAATATCACGAATGAGATTCGTGGCGACAAATATCGAGATAACTGCTGATGAAGATAAGGGCTAAAATCTAAATAATATTACCTAAATATTACCTAAATATTACTTAAATAATAAATATATTACCAAAATATTACCTAAATATTACTTAAATAATAAATATATTACCAAAATATTACCTAAATATTACTTAAATAATAAATATATTACCAAAATATTACCTAAATATTACTTAAATAATAAATATATTACCAAAATATTACCTAAATATTACTTAAATAATAAATATATTACCAAAATATTACCTAAATATTACTTAAATAATAAATATATTACCNTAAATATTACTTAAATAATAAATATATTACCTAAATATTACTTAAATAATAAATATATTACCTAAATATTACTTAAATAATAAATATATTACCTAAATATTACTTAAATAATAAATATATTACCTAAATATTACTTAAATAATAAATATATTACCTAAATATTACTTAAGTAATAAATATATTACCTAAATATTACTTAAATAATAAATATATTACCTAAATATTACCTAAATAAATAATAATTAATCTACTAATATTGCCTAAATAATTAATAATTAATCTACTAATATTACCTAAATAATTAATAATTAACCTACTAATATTACCTAAATAATTAATAATTAACATAATAAAATTGCCTAAATAATTAATAATCTACTAAAATTACCTAAATAATTAATAATTAACCTACTAATATTACATAAATAATTAATAATTAGCATACTAAAATTACCTAAATAATTAATAATTAACCTACTAATATTATCTAAATAATTAATTAACTAAATAATAAATAAATAATTCGCCTTTACCCAGATGAAGAACCCTAAAGAATTTAAGCCTTGCTGGCGCCAAAGATCTCCAGACCCTGTTTCGCTCGAAGACCTTAGCATCGTGAGTGGGTTATCTGGTCAGTGTAACATCTAGCCCAGCTACATTTGGTCAATGCAATGTAAACAATAGTTCCTAAGTATTAGAAGAGCAATCGAATTCGACAGCTCTCAATTTTTCGATACAAGAATAAAAAAATACTCCAACCACACTTTTCATAAGATCACATCATTAGGGACATTCTAAATCGTACGTCAAGCAGTTAATCTTGAAAAACAATGTCCCTCGTCGAATTCGACGTCAGTGTGATGGGAAATGGGTGATATAATTTGAAACAAGAAACTGTTACGAAGAATCGTTACGATGAACAATCGACGCAAACAGAGATGGATTACGTGTACGTGTTCCAGCGCAAGAAGTTAATAAAAAGAGATTCGCAGTCAAGTAGCACGAATTAAATTACCCACCTCCCCACAAATTCTCGAAATCTTTACCTGCACGGTTGTGATTCTCAGTTCGTCATGCATCATCTCCATTTCTTCCCTCGTCGAGTATCTTTTAAAAAATCGTCAAAAATCTCGCCAGAACCCATAGTCTCCCATCGTCGGTACGCGGCACACCAGCCAATTTCACCGTATAAATATTCTTTTAATACCCACGCTGGAGAAACTTCGATCCCCCTTCAAACGTGATTCCTGCTCGCCGAACAACCGAGTTACACGAGCGCGAGAGCGTAAGGGAGGGGAGACAGGGGAATTCTATACGCGAATAGTCGAAAGATGATCGACGAGCGACGTGCAAGGGATCAACGGTAATCCAAGAAATCGGGATTACCATTGAACTGGCTCGGGGAAAAAAAGCGGAATTCAATGCTCGATCCAGCAGTGCTCGAAAAGAGAGAGAGAGAGAAAAGTGAAAAAAAAAGAGCGGAATTATAAATCAGCCTTTTGTCTTTAACGCTTCGCGGTGGAAAACAAAAATCGGCCAGATCGCAACAACTAAGTAGAGACCGAAGTGTATAACTCACGTCCGCGCCGTGTATCGGTAATATTTAACCGCGTCCGCGCGAACGTTTGTATAAATCCCTGTGTTTCGTGCATAAATCGGTTTATTCCTTCGATATTTTTAACAGCCATTGAAACCCGACGGAGGGCGAGACAATTTATGTTTTCCCTCCCCCTCCGCTCGTGCTTTGTCTATTAACTTCGGTTTCGACACAGATCTATGACCCGTGTAAGCGGCGACCAACGAAACGATGTGAAACGAAATTTTGACGAACGGCTGCAATTTTTGGTGGCCACCGTCGGCCATCCACTCCCCCCCCCCTCCTCCTCCTCCTCCTCCACCACACCCCTTCCACTTCGTGCGGGGACCAGGATTCCTTTTGTAGTCGCCAGAAAAGAGAGATTTTCAAACGCAACAATGTAAACGGGCTGAAATTTTACGATACGTCCCGTGGAGATCCATGGTTAACGTTGTCTGCGTTCCCTCCGAAAGCGCCGCGCTTTGTTTGAAGAGACGTTGTTGGAGAGAACGCGACAACAACTTCGACGTTAATTAATCTTTCGTTATTACGTAAATTACGTTATTACGTTCGAACATGAGCGAAAAAACGAGACGTATCTGTTACAAAAAAAAAAAAAAAAAAAACTTGTTAATTGTATTAGTTTTATATTATTTTTTATATCGGTTTAGTTTTATGCGGGATTGTGTAAGAACTGGAAACCTAGCGTTTATAGGTGGGATTTTTAGACGAATGCAAATTTATTTGTATAAATTTTAAACAATGTGTCGAAAAATAGACTTGTTGCAAAACTTTATTTTAATTAATACTGTACAATATACTCTACACCTTAAAATCTTGATGCTAACCCTATAGAGCATTTGTGGTTTGAAAGATAAAAGGTAAAAGATTAAATAATTACGAAATAAATAGATAGTAAAGTTATTAAAGTACGGAAAAGTATAGATGTAATAAATATTACGCAGAAACTGCATGGGAAATCGTCTGAGAAATTCTTTATTGATGCGTCTAAACATCTACAGAGTGATTCACGTAACTTGCAACACCTGAAATAACTTTTAAATGATGCGCCTAATGAAAAATTGTTTTATACAAAAGTTGTGTGGTTTTAAGGGAGCCAGAATATGGTGTATTAATCTTCTGTGTGTATTGAGGGGTTTCGAAATTTCCAAGGTCATCTCTATTTTTTCAAATTAATAACATAATATATATATATATATATATATATATATATATATATATATGTATGTATGTATAATTGATAATTTAATTTATTAAACAATCTTTCATTAGACGCGTAATTAAATTAATTATGTTTAATGTAAATTGCATATTAAATTTAAATTTTTAATAAATTATAATATCAATATTATAAGTAAAATTTAAAATATAATTATGGTTTGATTATTAATTAAATTAATATTTTATATATAATTCATTAAAATTGAATATAAATTAATAAAATATGAAACTAATAAAAATTCTTTATATACAAAATTAATGAAAATTAAACAAGGGAATTCAAATTAATAATTATAAATTAAAGTGCCAGTAATAGCAGTTTAAAAACTTATATTATAAGTTAATAATTAAGGGATATTTTACGCGTGAAAGTTACGTGAATCACCCCGCAACGTGTCTGTCGTGTTACGGACAGATATTCATGGTCAAATGTTTCGGATGTAAAAGGTAATTACACAACGAAGCATCGAGCTACCATTTTTACGTTACTCTTCGAAAAAAAATATTTCGTCGTACGTTTCGGCTTGTATTCTGAATGAATCGAAACGAATATGCAATAAGGAGGGAAGAAGCGACCGGTAGGAGCCATCGATGAATTTAGAGAGAAGGGATGGTGTTTCGTCTTTTTTTTTTTTTTTTTTTTTTTNTCTCTCTCTCTTTCTCTTTCTCTTTCTCTTTTACCCTGTGATTGCGAGCCTCGGGATTTTTCTCTCGTATTTTTTTTTTTTTTTTTTCTTTTTTTTCGAACGATTTCGAAACGAATAATTTCACGTGGTAGTCGATCTACAGAGGCGTCTACAACGCGAGGAAGAGCCGATTCGAATCGGTGCTCGCGTTCTGTCGGCGTGTCTAGAAAACGGGCCGATCCGTTCGAAGGTTACTGAATCGCGAAGCTGAAACGAATCGATTGCTCGAGAGCTGGCCGGACCGGTTTCGCGGTTCCGCAAAGTTAAGGAAATTGCGAGACAGATCGGCCACGCATACGGAAACACTCGCACCTCGCCAACTCCATTATCATTTGCTTACCGAGCAACGCGATTCTATTAGCCGGTAATATATGAAACGTTCGATTTCTTCAGTCGAGAATGAACCGTGAGTTTTGCTTCCCTTCCCGGGATGAGTTTATCATCTTTTTGCTCCGTTATTACACTGATTTTGCGGATTTTCTGTGCATCTATGGACGAAGCGTCGAGTTGAAAATCGTTGCCGATTGAATTCCGCTAATTTCAACGCCAGTTTCTATCGCGTGAATAAAAGTAACAGACGAGGCGGAGAAAATTGTAGAAACTACTTATCAACGAGATCAGAAAATGAATGAGCTTCTACAAACTAAATCACTATCTTAGTAGGAATAATAATTCAAGTTGGATAAAAAGTAATTCAAATGGAAATATTAATTCACGCTGGTCAAAATGACAAGTTTATAATTTTTGTTGGATACTTTTCAGACGTGAGACCGTATTTTCAAAGATTTAAATAATTTTCCGTAAAACGTGCAAAGAAAAGCTTGCACAGTCAATTGTATTATAAAATTTCTCTATTTTTTTTTGTTTCAATTTTTTTGAGACTTCAACGAGACTGAAATTTTATCCTTTAATCCTCATCGATAGTTTCAGTGTCGAACAATATATATAACGTATGACATGTTTGAAACATTCCACAAATCATTCAACGTTGCAACAACTTGCTCACTCTCTCTTTCTATCCAATATCCTCTTACAACCAATAGTTCAATGGCCACGAATAATTTAATTCGACGCGTGAACTTTAAAACAATTTTCAACGATCGTCGTCTCGATTCCGTGCTCTTCAACCGTAATCATCCATCGTCATTCCCTCTTTCTAGGCGTGATAACGCGAAAGAAAGAGATCGACACGCGGGCATCAAACCACGCCGTTTATTATCCCTCTATTCGCGTGTGCTCTACTCGTCGGAAAGTGGACTGAGTAATTAGAAGATGAATTAATTTAATTAACGAAACATTACCGAAATGAACGGGGGGAGGGGAGGAGCAGATATCAGAAATCGATGGAACCAGATCCATTAGCCCGGGGCGCTGTTGCCTTCGAGAACGTCACCAATCAGATTAATTATCACAGGATTGTTGTTAACGCGTATCGCGCGGCAGAAACACGGTGGCAGTTACCCACCGCTGCTGTTTCTGCGCAATCATTGGTGACGGTTCAGTGGCGCGGATCGAGGCGTTTTTGCCGCGGCGTCGTTTCCCTTCGGCTTTTCAAGGACTCGAAATCTCTGTAACGCGGCCTTCCTGGTACCGGCCATTACACGCAACGTATCAACGCGTTTTTAAACCGCTCCTCGTGCTCCCATTGTTCCTTTTAATTGACCTGGACACCTCCTCGCCAGAGCAAGGTGTCCAAGTTTTACACGGATTTCTTACAGATTTCATGCGTTCACCAATTTCCAACGAGCGAAACATGCACGAATATTGCTCGAGATGCTGCATTTGCTTCGGAACTGGGAAACAAACTTGCGACGAAGAGTTTGAAAATTGTCGCATTGCTAAATACACGCGTAATTGGAAAATTGTATATATTATTTGCGACAATATGTTGAATCTTACAAATATAAAATATTCGCCGAAATTTTCGAACGGAATTGTATATCCGCGTATCGTATAACGTTCGTTGTTTCAAAACGCCGATTTTTTCTTTTCTCTTTTTTTTTTTTTGTTTCTGTTTATCGGTTTTATTCCTTTTCTTTTTTTCTCTTCGAACGCACGGGAGATAAAGTTACGTTAGAAAATTCTACGAACGGGTCGAAAAGGTTTGTTTCAATTTTAGAAAGGCGGCTATTTTTACGCGTGTCTTGTGCACACACAAACGCACACGCTATGCGGCAGCGTTTCGATGTTGTATTGATTATGACCCGAAACGATATTTGCAACGCGTAAGAGAATTATATTTGAAATTTCGTCGGCGTAAATGTAACGAATTATTATTTCGTCGAAATTGTGTTTACAAACGCAATTTCGGCGAAACGTTACAGCGTGATTGTCGCGGAAATTAATCAGAAATTTGATATGCACGATAGTGAGCGATAATGATGCAGGGGCGGATTTTTGAAAAAAATTCATGACAATTGTTTGACAAAAAAAAAAAAAAAGAGAAGAAAAACGGTTGCTGAAGAAGAACGAATGCAAAGTGAAATCGTTGAATATTTGTTCGCGCGACTAAAAAATCTCCGTGTGATCGCTTAAATTTGCCAACGATTCGATTGACTTACGCAAAGGGTACTGTTGATGTTAAAAATGAATATTAAATCAAACACACTGTTTATCACACGCGATGCGTGATTGTCTTTTCTTCGATTTAAATTCGATTTCTATCGTTTCACCGTTGCGAAGTGAAAATTGCGATACGCGAAGAGCAACGACGAGAAAAATACCATCGAATAGCCCGCGGAATTTAAGAAAGTCCCAAAAAATATATGTGAAGAGTATATTTCGGCTAGACGTATTGCTGAAATTAATTGCCGAATCGATATTCGTGAATTAATATTCATCCTTTATGAATTGCTAAGTAATAATGTAAATCGCATTTATAATTTACACAATAACCATAAATATCGAATATCTATAAATTCTTCGCCATTTATTAGCGGTATTTATAGATTTTACGGATGCACACACACACACGCGCACACACACATATTCAACGTCACGCATGTACAGTGATTATCATAATAAGACCGTAATTTTCAAATTAATCATTTCGCGGCGATTCATCATAAACATTAAACTTTTATCTTCTTGGCAATAGATTGAACGGGAAGATATCTATTATTAGTAATACGTAACACGAATATTCAGTTGATAACAGACTGAAAATTAAAATTAAACGTATAATAATAATAATAATAATAATAATAATAATAATAATAATAAAACGACAACGCAAAATGCAGAGATTTCTGTGAACGCAACGTTCGAATGCGACCGTTGTGAAATCGTGTACGTACGATTATTTGTATAGCAACCAGTATCCGCCAACATTTACCCATACATTCGACGCGTAATAATAATTTACAATCATAACAAACTTGTACCGTGTTTATACATCATTTACAACATTATAACTTCATTTGATAGCAGTACAATGAACAATGGCCTGGCAATGTAATCGCAATTTAAAGATAAACACGAACGGTATGCGTCCGAATAAAACATCTTCAAACCACGACGCGATCTCGTTTATTCCTGCAGTTTCGTTTCAGATTAATGCAATCATCCGAATTCGAGTAATTTGAAATTTATGAGCGTGCAACTATTCAAATACTTTCGCGTATTTGAAACCACTGTGTATACTATCGCGTAAGCTGAAATCGCTTGATTCAAATGACCTGAAACCATTTACGCTAACCTACCAACCAATCTCACTTGACTTGAAATATTCTTCCTTCAAACAAGAAGGTTGAGGTTTTTTTCTTTCGATCGGACGAAATTTTTTGAAAATCAATACGTACTTTTTCCAAAGCACAAAGCGAAACGAACCAACCTGTAATTAAAATCGGTTGGTTCAAATAACCTGAAATAACCTATTAATCTACGATCTTACTTTATAGGTTAGGTTTGGGTCAGGACTCGAAATATTCTTCCTTTAAACAGAGAGTTAAGATTATTCCTCGGATAGGATAATTTTAAATCAGATAATTTCCACACGATCGGCAAAAATTTTCCATTAACGCGTATTTTTCCAAAACTACAAACCAACCTATAGTTGAAATCGCTCGATTAAAATCACCTGAAATACTTTGATAATCAATGATATAGGTTGGGATTCAAAATATTCTTCCTTCAAGCAGAAAGTTAAAGTTCCATCGATTACTCCTCGAAGGAATAATTCGAAATTAGATAATTTCGATCGAAAGAAATTTTCCATTAACGTGTATTTTTCCAAAACCTGTAGTTAAAAATCGCTTGATTAAAATCACCCCAAATACTTTGCTGATCAATGATTTTACTTTATAGGTTCGGATTCAAAATATTCTTCCTTCAAACAGAAAGTTAAAGTTCCATCGATCATTCCTCGAAAGGATAATTTTAAATCAGATAATTTCCACATGATCGGCAAAAATTTTCCATTAACGCGTATTTTTTCAAAACTACAAACCAACCTAAAGTTGAAATCGCTCGATTAAAATCACCTGAAATACTTTGCTAATCAATGATCTTACTTTATAGGTTGGGATTCAAAACATTCTTCCTTCAAACAGAAAGTTAAAGTTCCATCGATCATTCCTCGAAAGGATTTTAAATCAGATAATTTCCACATGATCGGAAAAAATTTTCCATTAACTTTATAGGTTAGGTTTGGGTTAGGACTCGAAATATTCTTCCTTTAAACAGAGAGTTAAGATTATTCCTCGGATAGGATAATTTTAAATCAGATAATTTCCACACGATCGGNAAAGTTAAAGTTCCATCGATTACTCCTCGAAGGAATAATTCGAAATTAGATAATTTCGATCGAAAGAAATTTTCCATTAACGTGTATTTTTCCAAAACCTGTAGTTAAAAATCGCTTGATTAAAATCACCCCAAATACTTTGCTAATCAATGATTTTACTTTATAGGTTCGGATTCAAAATATTCTTCCTTCAAACAGAAAGTTGAAGTTCCATCGAAGAAATAATTCGAAATCAGACAATTTCCGCACGATCCGAAGAGATTTGCGCGTATTTTTCCAAAATACAGAGGAAAACGGGCCAGTCTGTATCGTTCTCTTTACACACAACGACTTTAATAATAAGATTCTCATTTAACGAAGAACGTTCGAGCAACATTTCGCGAGCTCGATCAATCACCCTCGTTACCAGGAAAGAACGATCGAAGTCGGGAGAGCTACTGGTTAAAACGAAGCCACGCTATATGTGTTACACACACACACACACATATATATATACATATGTATATATATATACATATGTATCTGTAGGTTGAAACATTTTCTGGGATTACGAATTTCGCTCGGTACGCTCTCGCCTGGTTTCGTGGAGGAAGCGGCTGCTGACAACGCGATTCACGGAGTTCCATGGTAGTCGAGGCAGTGAAAGGAAAGATTGGAGAGACTAGCTGGCGAGAGAGAACGGCGCCGACCGTTGAGGAACGTTATCGCGGGACAAGGAAGGGAACAGGGCGGTCTTGGTGGCCAATTCGTTGACGCAGGGCAAAGAAGTGGCTCATCGTCACGCTGTCTGCCATCTGCGTGCTACTGCCTCCTCAAATGACCGATCCGCAACGCTTCTGTTACCCGCGGGGGTAGGGCGCAACATCGCGTGAAAGATCGGCGCGAGATAGTCGTGGGGGGGGGGGGGGGGGGGGGGAGGGCGGGGGGGGGGGGGGGGGGGGCAGGGAAGTCGAGGTGAAAAAAGAAATTTCTTCACCGAGTGGAAACGCGCGACGGATGTCGTGCGGTCGCGAGAGGGGAACGTGTCGTGCGTTTCTTACGGGACACGGCGGTTCGTCGTGATTTCATGTAAATCGACGATTAAAATCGTGTCTGGTAGTTTTATTTCGAACCGATTAACGTAAGTTAACTGAGTCCAGTGCCGAGATGGCGGTTCGATGAAAATTAAATCGCATGTTCGGATGTTCAGAGGTGACCGAAGAGATTCGAGATAGTGTGTTCAACAGAGATGATAAAGTAAAAGAAAATCTTTACAATATAATACAGTACACGAGCTTTTCTTCGTGTATTTGTCCCTAAAAATACACTGTTTTACATCTGTAGAATATCTAAATAAAAATTATCAATTTTCGTAGCTACCCATTCTGGCAGTTCCAGTGTTGAAGTATCTACATACGTGTGTACGTATGAAAACAAGCATCTACGTACGTGTGTACATAGGTGAGCTTCAGCTATTGAAAAATACTTTCGCGTTGTATCTTGCGAATTGAATCTTTCTTCGAAAACATTGCGGCTAGTTTCATGGGAAGTTTGAGAACGTGGTGGTACGTAGTACGTACTTGCCTCGGATATCTAGAAACTTCAAGCAATATCAAGCCCGAGAACTAGAACTACCGAAGTTTCCAAAGTTTTATTCTGTATAGAGAGTTGAATTAAGTTAATCGCGTGCGCATACAGATAACTACAGTGATTTTAATTCGTTCTTGAAAGCTGGCCTGTGGGAGAAGCTTAACCGTTTTTCCAGAACAAGTGCAACCACAGTTTTTCCTCGATTCTGTAATTAATCAGTCATTTGCAAATGGCAAAGTACAACGCAAGAAATGTCAGTACAATATCTTAGAAATTGTTCGCTGCCGATCTCCGCAGATTACACAAATTGATCGAATATCTCGTAACGCCGTCAATTTAATAACGACCTCATTAATTTTAATGAATTACCAGATCGCTAACCCGATGTGTATCTTCGGTGCAAGTTATTCAAATTACAGATACAGATTTCCCTGTAATTTACTAATCATTTGCTACACTTTACTTTAATTCCAACGTACCATTATTATCGTTTCTAATCGCTGCGATTCTATTCCTCGGCGTAACATCGCTCGAAAGAAACGTGAGCAGTCAGAAAGTGTTAAGAATAATTTTTCGTCCAAAGGAGAAAAGAAGGAACGAATTTGGATTTCTATTTCTATCGGAGCAGCCTCGCAGCTGGCAAGTAGAAAACTATCGTCCTTCAATTATAAGAACGACGCGAACGCGATATTAAAATCCAGACGCGAACCAGGATTCCTGAAAGAAATCCGGCGAAAGAAATTTTTCTCATCCCTCTTCCGCCGCTCGCTCTATCTCGATAAATTTTCCTTCGCCGTAACCCATTCCCGAGTCATCTCCATATCCCGCGGATAAATTTTTTTCGCCCAGACTTTTTCGGGCTGAGCCTCGGGCTGAGCGCGGCGCGCGCCGTGAAATTCGTTCCGTGCGATGATTCATAACCTTCCGTGGCCTATTCATTTACTCCGGAGTAACTACGCACCACGCTCGCAACACGCCTTTACCTTGGTCGACACGTAAAATCGAACAGAGAGAGAGAGAAAGAGAGAGAGAGAGAGAACTCTCGTTTCCTTTCCACCGCAACTTGGCACCGCGTTCCACGTAAACGATAGTTTTTATGCTCGATATCGTGATATTTCTTACCATTTCTTTGCACTATTAACTCGCGGACCTTGATATATTCGGTTATACTTAATAAGACGCGAAATTTATTGCCCTTGCTTTTTATTCGACACCGTAACGAACGTTTCCCCTACAATTTGTGCAACCTAGACGAAGAATTTTCCGTTCTTTTTTTTTTTCTCTTTCTTTTTTTTCTTGTTGAACTTTGCAAGGATTCACTTGGACGTACACCGCGTCGTTTATGAATGACAAATTGTAGGTTACTTAAGATTAACAAGCGTATCGACCGAGGCGTGAGCTGTTAAATAGAAAGTTGCAGAAAGTCGAGGAATCTTCGCGATCGTAATGTTCCTTGCGGAGGAAGCAGCTGCAGTCCGGTTATTATTACAAAAATTGACGAGAAAGCACAGCAGTGCGAGTGGTCGATGCTTTTTGAAAACGGAACGCGCGAGACGTGCCTTTCCTCCAGAGAGGAAACAAAGACGCGAGTTTCTAACGGAACGAAAACAGAAGAAAAAAAAAAAAAAAAAGAAAGGAAAAAAAGGAAACACACATTTTCACGAGAACGGGAAATAATTTACGCGGGTTACACTTTCGTTGGAACGACGAAGCTCGGGACGCGCGGTGCAGCTTTTTTCGTACTCGTCAAACGAAAAGGATCGCTTTGATCGGTGGATAAAATCGAGCAAGAACGCCGATTTAGAACGGCGAAAAAGCCGCCGCTGTTCGAAAGAGTTTGCGTTGGCGAGGGGGAAAACAGAAAAGAAAAGAAAAGAAAAAAAAAAAAGAAAAGAAAAAAAAGGAGCCGCGTACGCGCGAAGAAGAACGCTCGTCACGTCGATTCCCTGCCGGTTTCTCAAAAGAGAAAGAGAATTACGCGGAATTACAGTGGGTGTTGTCGTCACGATTATCGACGAGCCACGCGCAATCCCTTTTTTTCGTGCTTTTTGCAAGCTGCACACGCGTTTACCTTGGCCGTTACGCGGAATCGACTGCAGATACCAGTTTTTCTTTGTATCTTAGCGGGACATTATTCCGCGGAACAATTGCCGTTGTTGCCGGTGGAAGCGTTTGCATTGTCGTTGCCGCGTTTCTCGCTCGTCATTGCCGCTTGTGTCCGCGCGCGAGCGCACCGATATGCAACACTCTTTAATTCCTTAACGGTGCACAAAAGCAACTGCGATTCTCGGTTATTGGGCTCGACGAATGCCCAAGACTCGAGATCGTTTGATGATCGTTTTTCAAAATTCGATCGTCGGTCCTTGAGGTTTTCACGAAAGAAAAATTTAGCAGAGAAAGATTTCTCCTTCTCGTCACAATGGTATTACTCCACAAAGTGAAATCTCCACTGAGGAAAAGCTCGAGACCGAGATTTTTGCAAAAACGAGACGTTCAAAATTAAGAATTAAATTTTACCAAGAACAGGTACGCTTATCAGTTTGTAATCTGTTAAAGCACGCGTGTGTGAAATCGGCATTATTATAAATCTCGAAAAATCGCCCGCCGAATCTTATCAATTAACTAATAATATATCGTGAAAACGACGAATACGATGTAATTACACATTCGGGTTCAACACTATTTTCAAACGCCGTTACGAATAATCGAATTAGGAATTCATTTTCGCTTTCACCGTGATTTGAAGATGCACGTTTTATAACAGCAATTAATAATACAACTTTGTCAAAGACAAGACTACAAATCATTTGGTTTTGTAAAGTAAAAATCCAGCTGTTTCGATCATCTGCCTGTGATTGTCAACGTTTAAATTATTTATTTCGGCGATCGGTTACGCCGTTTCAGAAATAAGTGCAGTCGAAATTAAAAGATTCAGAAACAGTCTTAAAAATATCTAGATTTCCGGGCAATCGGATTTGATTAAATTTTATACGTCGACTCGTTATTGGAGTACATTCAGTCATATCGACATCACCCGATTATTTATACCCGTGAACTGGCAAATTAAATACGGCCCCGAGTATCGATAATTAACGGATAAACGTAGGAGTTCAAGGGGGCTACCGAAACGTTCTCGAGGATTTCATTAAAAATTCCCGTGCTGTCGATCAGCGTTGAACGATATTCTCGCTGAAAAACAGAATCCGTTTAAGAAAAGAAACAACAACGACAACGAAAAAAGGAAACAGAGGGAGGGGAAAAAAAAAAAAAAAGAAAAGCACGACAGACACAAAAATGAGAAGGAACAGTGAACAAGAAGCGGCAGGATATTAAATCAGACCTCATAACGATGCGCATAAATCAACGGCGTTTCGGTCCGCGGAAACCTCCATTTAGAATGCACTTTTTCGAGCTCGATTTATCTCTTCGATCGAAACACTTTCACGTCGTTTTACACGGCTTAAGAGAAAAAGAAAAAGGAAGAAAACTTGTATGTGGCGACAAGTTGATAAGAAACAAATGACCCGATCGGTCTTTACATCTTTAAATTTGAATTTAAAGCGGGAGATTTGTGTTACTCGACGTTTGGAAAGTTGTCAAAGGCGATCAAAAATTGGAGCAGCCGTTTCGAAAATATTTTTAGGGATGAATCTGGTTAGTTCCTCGCGAGAAAGTTGCTTCAACAAAAGCGAATTAACAATCTACTGGGAAACAAATTTGAGAATAGATACACGGGGCCAGCTTCCGCTTATAAATAATTTTCGACGCACAAACGCGTTCGTTGTTTTCAGTGATAGCGTTGCAAAATCTCCATAAAAGTAACACAAGAGAGTAACCGTGTATTTTCGTAAACCGCGCGACGTAAAACTTATAAAAAATAATAATGCCAACAGACCGAGCGATAATTTGCAAATTTCGTGAGAGAGTAGAGGAAAGAAGGGGGGAATATCTATCTCAACAAATTTCCCCGGCGTTTTTAACAATTTATAAACCGTTTGTGTGTCTTACAATAAACGGTGGAATACAGGGATGCAAACGAGCAGGTATTACCGGGTACACGAAATTCACGGCGTTGAAATTCCTTTTTTCTCTCCTTCTCTCTCTCTCTCTCTCTCTCTCTCTCTCTTTACCTTTCTTTTTCGCCCTTTTGCCTGTCTTGTTTGTACGTGTCTCTTTTATTCTCCACCCCCTTCCTCCCGCACACACATTCTCTCTCTCTCTCTCTCTCTCTCTCTCTCTTTTCCTTCGTTTTGTCTTTACCCGTTTTGTTCTAATGACTAAAATTGCACGCGAGACTCGCGGCGCTTACTATTTAACGGGGCGTTTAAAAAAGTAATGTGGAAATATAATGGGAAACAAAGGGAAGAAAGTTTCCGCGCTCGCGTCGGCAACTGCCGACAGCGCGCCGCGCACGGTTTTACTTCCCTACCCCGCCGCTATTTGGTTTGGATGAAGAGCTACCTGTTTGTTTACGTTTCGCTTTCAGCCGTTTGTACTCTCTCTCGACGATGCAGCAGCAGCAGCAGCAGCAGCAGCAGCACGCTGTGTGCATGTATCGCCCTCTCCACGGTTCCCACCCACGTGCATGCACCCGCGCCGAACGATAAGCAGCCACACGTGCATATGACCTCCGAAAGCGAATCCGATCCGCGGGGTCTTGCCACCACGCGACCAGATCTCCCCATCGATTCTTCCTCCCCCTCGAGATGCACTTTGATCGCGTTTAATCCCACCTACCCACGTCATCCCTTTTCTTCTTTTTTTTTTTTTTTTTATTATTTTTCCTCTTTTCCGCGGCTTGCTTCGGTGTTTTTTGTTTATTCCTAAATTCTCCTTGTTGCGTTCTCCCTCTGCAACTTTCGAGAGTTTTTCGCGCATGTACGTAGCTTTTGGAGATCTCGCAAGAGTTTGGAAGTAAATCTCCGCTTCGATTTCAATCGAATTTCAAAGGAGAAAATTACGAGGCGACGATATGTATAAACATTGCAAGGTTCGAAAGATCGACAGGCAGAGATACTTGAGATACAAAGTGAATTTCTTTCTACCAAGTCCTTGGACAGTGAAGAGTGATATATTCAGAGAAATGAAACGCTCGATACTGAGAAATGAAACGAAATGAAATAAAGCAAAGCAAAGAATATCGAAATTACCTCGCATCCCGGTGGTAACGCGAAAAGTTTCGCCAACGCATCTATTAGCGAATCGTCCGCCGTTGGAGCTACGTAGCGCGAGGGATCACGCTAGGGTTGTTAGCTGCACAAGTGTAAAACGTTGGACGGAGGAGAAAGAGATATAACCGTGGGGGATGAAAAGTGGGGAAACCACCGGAGGTTAGAAGGGTTAAGGACGCCGATGGTGGTACGGCGAGGTGGTGGATGGGTTGATTCCGTTTATCACCAGGAGGCATACATTTTGCAGCATCGTGATATAGAAGCCCGAGTCTCGACACTGCAGCGCAGAACGTCGTTAAGGGACGCGGGTCTATCGACAACGACGACGACGACGACGACGACAACGATGATGTTCCAACGTCGTCGCCATCCTTGAGATCTAACCACCACTCGAGGCTTGCGTTGTCTCGAAATATCGAGACCATCGTTATCGGAACTAATCGACCGGTTATCTGTGGCTCGGTAGAGTAAAAAAATACGGTGGAAACGTATACGATTAAACGAATCGCCTTTGTCTGACTTTGATGTCTCTCGTCATTATTTATCAGTGAATTCGCTGTTATTCATTTTTGAAACATTTAAAGAGGGCTGAAATTCGCGGCTGTCTGATCAATGAGTCGAAGTAAGAATATTTTGTTGTTAAGAAAATTGACGCGATTATGTTTAATAAATCGAGTTACGATTTACAGAAAATATCGGTTCGCTTCGTTTTCACGGTGAAATTAAATCGAAACTGGTGGAAATTTCACGTGCTCGTTAGAGAGAGAGAGAGAGAGAGATAAAGATACTGTTAATTAAACAACCGTAACTGTTTAAACGAGAGCCCCCTCGTTTGTAACTTTAATAATCCTCGATAGTTTCTTCTAAATTACATTTGGAAGCCCGAGTAATTAACTCTGTTTAAACTTCTAGCCCAGATTCCCCAATTAAAATAACTACGCTCTCAAAACAATTACGCTATTCCGAACCAAACACGTAAAGCTGCGATCCACGTTTACGATGCATATTATTACGACATTTATGTACGTGTAAGAAACATTTTGTACGCCGACTGTACATCCGATCTTCCAATTCGACGAGAAAGAAAATGAAAAAAGAAAAAGAAAAGAAGCGTAAAGAAAAGGAGGTGAAATGATGTAGTTGTCGTGTATGGTTCGTGCGTGTAAAAGCACAGGCATTTCCGGCGCTGACTTTCATAAATTTTTTTCCAGCCGCGTCTTGGAAAAACAGATCCGAAGGTGGGCCTGAATCGTCGAGCCTGTGAGAGACTGACAAGAATTATTAGTGGGTGAAGGTAGCCAGTAGCTGAGCCGAGGATCAATACTAGGCAGACGTCCGTGCAGTGTGGTGGAGTGCACTTCTCCTACACAGCTCTAGGCTAGGCTAGAGCTAGGAAAGGCTGGGATGGAGGTTGGGTAAGGTTAGATCGTGAGATGTCTACGTAGACTCCCGGTCCCCATAAACTAACTCGACTCGACGATGCAGCCACCACCATTGGGCTTCAGCTTGGGGGGAGAAAAAAAAAAAAAAAAAAGGAAAGAAAAAAAGAAAAGAAAAAAGAAGTACATTCTCTTCTCTTATGTACTCTTCGAGATACGCTCTCTTGGCTGAGGATTACGTACGTTGGAATTTACTTCGAACAACTGTCTTTATCGTCTTTTTTTGTTACTGCGAAATTTCGTCTAACGTGCGTACAGAAATATTGAATCGGAAAAATAAACACGCGGTCAGTGTAGAATTCTTCCACCGATTGTAATACCTCGTGTTTACGAAACACCTTTCACCTATCTTTTTCTTTTCACGCATTTAATTGTATTATTTGCACGAGAGTGAAACGTTGCTTTTAGTTGAATAGCAGGATTTCTACTCGTGTAAACGAAGAAGAAATATACGTATACATACGTGCACTCGCATCTAGTCTAAAAATGTTGAAACAAAATCATTGAACCTTCTCTCCACAATTTCCTTCTCGTCGTGCAACGCTTCTTTCATCCCTTCTTTACACACCACACACGAATGGTAAGTAAAAAAAGAAAATCAAACAGACAGATTACTCGTATCTAATGAACCTAACGGACAGAGATTGAAAACTTGAGGTGAAAAAGGAGCCACCTGCGCGCCTATGCATCTTAATCCGTAACCATTACTCGCACAGATTCAATTATTTTTAGACGCATACGAAAAGGAGAGGCGAGCCGATGCATCTTCTTGCGCGTGAATCCGTGCCGTACGATCGCGAGAACTAACACGGTCGCTTTTCGTCCCATCGTTCTCCCCCCGCCCCCTCCCCCCCCCCCTTTATTCGCGTTCTTTCCAATTAGCAAACGTACGATATATATATATTTTTTTTGTTTCTTTTTTTGTTTTTTTATTTTGTTTTGTTTCGTTTTAATCACGAGATGTGTCTCTGGCAAACACGGAACTTTAGAACGGCGTGAAAACACCGAGCAAATTGGCCCTTCAGCATTTGACAATGCGTTGCGTTGCGGCTGGTCGCGCGTATTCAAACATTACGATTTAACACGCCGCGTTTCGTAGTCCGTCGCGCCGTAAAAATTTAACCATTTAACGATACGCTGACGCTGCGCCGAGTCGATTGTGATCGTAATTAAATAAAGTTTGGATAAATAAGAGCCATTTAAGATATGGGCGCAGAAAAAATTCTGGACCTTTAATTTTACGCTGTATTTAATTTTCGTTTTGTCAGATTCAATGTCGAGACTTGACCTGTTTCCTTTGAGTCACAAAAAATTCCGGGAATTTGATATTTCGCTCGAAAGACGATCTTTTTAAACGGTACCAAACGAAGTTACGATTATTACACGCACGTCGAAGAGAAAGAGCCGCGAGAAAGAAAGTTTGAACGAGATTTGAAATTAAAAAGAGGTCGTCGGATCGTGGTCGGCGTATTTTACGATCTCGGCCGAATGTATATGCATGCACAAGCGTATATACGTGCATGTATACTTAACCAGGAAGTAAAAATAATCTCGCGGAACGTAGCGCAAGAAGTTGTGAAAACTAGTTAAACCGCCCCAAGGTCGAGACCGTGAAACTCGTCCAATTCACGGTGCAATTCTGCGCACACACATCCTTCGCTCGGATATGACAGGCCGCAAGATACAGTTCAGCTTATGCAATCCCAACTGGCAACTCTCTGTGTAACTATCGAAATCTACGATTCCATTGACACCGAGAGCCACGATTCTCTTTAACATTTTCTAATACTTTTCATCGTAACTCGTCCATGAATGTAGTTAGTTGCAACGATGATTACGTAAGATGTTGCATAAAAGGTACAGAATCTCTACGATTTTTACTTTTAGATTTACTTTTCAAGTGTATCTAAGCTCGAAGGTTTCGTCGTCAATTTCAAGGTTGGGAGAGAAAAAAATTCGAAAACGATTCGGTAACGACGTGTGTACTTGTTAGCCTTGGTAAAATCGAAGGCAAATGATGCAATCCTTGAGCCGCGAATCTGCGAATCGATAGGCCATAAAAAAAAAAAAAAAAAAAAAAAAACAAAGGTACGGAAAGCGTGTAATAGCCGGCACAATAAACGAAACACACACGTACGTAGCATACACGAGCAGACAGGGCAACGAAGAAAGGCAGGTAAATCAGAAATCATCTCGTTGCAAGCGGGGCGGACAACGTCGTTAGGTTTTCGCGGACACGCGAGGGTGCGCGTGAAATGGTAGAAGGGTAGGAGCGGCTGCGTAGTCGGACGCACTCACACACGCGCGCCAATACTGATGATCATTCACGCCACTGACCTACTCTGTGCAGCGCGCTTAGCCCTCCGCAGATGTGGGTGAGAAAGAAAGGGTGGTCGATGGAAGGAAGACAGCCGCAAAATGACAAGAGGGTGAAACGAGAGGGTGAAGGCTGGAGGGAAGACGGGAGAGAAAGGAGAGGGAGGAAAGTAAGGGATGAAGAAAGTCGCGCGAACGAACGTGAAGAGGGAAGAAAAAGGAAGAAGAGGGAGGCTAGCAGAAAAATATCTAAAGAGAGAGGAACTCTCGTTGGTCTCGTTGAGGAAACGCGAAGAAAGAAAGAAAGAAAGAAAGAAAAAAGGAAGGAAAGAAAGGAAAGAAGATGAGAAAGATGGAGGAGAAGAGAGCAGAGTTAGAAAGAGAGAGAGAGAGAGAGAGAGAGAGAGAGAGAGAGAGAGAGAGAGAGAGAGAGAGTCTGTGTCTGGTCGACAGGTCTGGGCCTGCGTAACGACGCGTGCACGTCGGTGCAAGTACGACGATAGAGGGTTGAGAGTTGCACCGAGTAGAAGGGTGTATCGGCGGTGGATGGAGTGGGGTTAGGTGGAGGCGAGTTGCAGGGGTGCAAGTCGACTGGTAGGTGAAGGGGCAAACGAAGGGGGAGGGCCAGGAACAGGGACGAGGGGTGGAAAGCGACCGAGGGGCGGCAGGGAACACGGAAGGCTACGATTGATCCGTGGTCGCCCTCCGTCCTCCCTATCCTCTTTCTCCCTTCCCACCCTTTCATCCTACGCTGGCCCTCTTTGTCTCGTCGTCCGTCCCTCTTTCTCCCGCGCGTCACGACCTCACGAATTCATTGTGCACTTTTGCTCGTCCTTTTTCTCTCGGCAGCCATTAGCTGTCCGTTCGGCTCGCCTCTTATTAGCATAGTTGCAAATTCTATGCCACGACGCCCGGTGGTCTCCCCTTAACGCTTGATTGGAACCTCGACGCTTTGTGACGTGACAGGTACACACGTCCCTTCGAAACTACCCCCCGACACCGCTTCGAAAGTATAAGCCTTTGCCTCGCATCGCTGGAAAAAGGGAATTTGGTCTTTTCCCCCGTGCCCAGGGAAAACCAAGGTGACGATCGTTCGCCGTTTCACCGTCGATATTTCAGAATTTACATAGCCTTGAAACCGCCGCGTACATACATACATACATACATACATACGTGACCGCACGTAGGTGGCGGAATTCTTTTTAATCGATTCGAACAATGCAGAAAGATACCGCTGAACATGCCTATCGTTTATCTAAGAAAAGACCAAGCCCAATTAGAACGGCCGGAGTTCAACTTCTGGAATTCAATCGAGACAATTGGCCACGGTTACCACACATTGTTCTGTTACATTGTTAATTTTAATGGGACAGATAGCTGTGTATTGGGGGTAGTCAGGTTGGAAGATTTAATGGGTGGAGGATTTGCAACGCAGATGCTTGATTTGTACGTGTTTCTCGATGATCGGTTTCTCAGACGCAACGATTGCCAATTCGTGCAACTCTACCTTACAAACTATGTTTATAAACTACGTTTGAATTTAACATCAATGTTATTTTGTTTATCCAAGATCATTTGTATCATTGATTCAGAATTAACTGAATTATATAAATTGACAACATCGTCGCACGTGTACGAGTTGTAAAAAAAAAAAAATTTGTTTAAATAAAATTTCCGAAAAAATGATGAAATACGTATGGGCCAACATATTTCATCACCGCGTAATACAATTTACATACGCTTTTACTAACTTAACGCACACGTATAATGCTATCTAAAATTTCGTTCCGAAACCGCTCTTAATAAAACGAGTGCTCTAATAAACTAGCGATGTAACAAAGAATTATAGAGGCGCTATAAGTAGAGTACGATGTAAAAAATCGTGGCCATTCCACGTAACGACAATTTGAAAAGGCGACACGTCAAAAATGAGGAAAGACGTGCCAAAAGAAAAAGAGAAAAGAAAAAGAAAAAAAAAGAAGAGACGTTTCATTTAATCTCGCAAACCCTTGGCAGCTTTGGCAGTTTGTGCATCTTTGAAATCGTCTGGGAAATTAGTATTCCGTTTGGTATCCCTGATTGATGACATTGCGTTTATCGAACGGCGTGCAGCAATGCACACAGATTATTCATCATATTAAAAAGCGTTTTCACCGGTGGCGCATTCATTCGAGTATTACATTCCAATAAATGGAACTTAACAATCAACCGTAGAAATTGGTACGCGCATGCTGCATGACGTATGCACGAGGCCAGCAACCACCGTAAACAGAATTATACAATACCGAACGTGCTACCATTAATTAGAGTAACTTTGTTGGCACGTGCCCGTGTGCGAGCGTGTTACGCGGCCGCGCTTTTATATTAATAGCGTTCAAAATGTTTTGACACCTCGACGTCGACTGCGGATTTTTAATTGAGACGTATTGGCGGATCGTGTTCGTCGCCAGACAGTTACAAATAATTTGGTCAATGATATAGTTTAATCAACGAAGATACCATATCCCCACTTCTCTCTCTCTCTCTCTCTCTCTCTCTCTCTCTCTTCCCCAACTACGAGAAAATTTAACTTTTCAATATTTCGCGAAAAAAGATTTTGGTTTAAGCGATTCTTTACGAATTACAATCGAATTACAGTCAACGTTATTGAAATTTTGGCGTAACGAACGGTTAAGAGAATAATTGGAATAACATCCGTATTTAAATTTTAATCGTTCGAGGAGACAGAACGTCAAACTTCAATTCACGAGTTATTTTTTCAGGGAATTCATGACAATAACTGGCGAGACATCGTCGATATCAGACACAGATCACGCGATACAGGAGGCCGACCTGGTTCCTGCGATGGAATATTAATTGAATGGACCAATAAACGGGTCTAGCGTAAAAATGAATCATCGACATAGAGAATGAAGAAGGGAACACGCCAGCATTTTTTACGTTGCTCCGATAGATGCAATCGGATGATTAAGCGAAGTAAGTCTAAAGTACGTTTCACGCGTTAAATTCAATTGATCGAACACTGCAGAGAAATTTCAACTTTCGAGTATCGCAACATTTCGAGTATCGTGACATTGTGAAATAATCATTCGCATTCTTTACTAAAAACGTGAGATTGGATTTACAGAAAAAAAATAACCTGTTCCGTGTTATCGTTAGATGAAAAATTACCCAATTCTAGCACAATGACAACTGAATGCAATGCAAATGTCACGAGGTGTTTATTACGCAATCTCAAAATAAGCAATTTTAATAGGTCATCTGAGGTCTCGGATTAATCATTTTTCCTCTCTTTTATCCATGTGGCAACAAATGATTGTGCCCGTCACATTGAGAGTTTACTTAAAGAGTTTATTTAAATCCTCGAAAAAAAAGAAAGAAAGCAAAAAAAAAAAAAAAAGAAAGAAAAAAACGAGACGAACACGCGCGGTTAGATACGTGAAGAGATACCTGCTTAATGAGTATGTAACAGGAATAGGCGTGCACATTTTGACCCAAGGATGCTTTCATGAGATTACAGTTAGCACTTTACTTGTTTCTGCACTATTTCACCACGCCAAGCTCTAACGATCACAACTACCACGTTGCAATTTCATTAATCGACGTTTTCACAGATTTCATCAAGTCGCCGCGCAGAACTCTTCAGATTTCTCAAATATTACAGCTATGACGTTGGAAAAATACGTCGTTTTCCAACATAATGGGAAATCATATTTTATCAGTATAGAAGCGAGAAAAGCGTTCACTAGAAACATTGCAAATATGTTGCATCGACGTATTTTCTCAAAATATTATTACAATTTAAAAAAAAAATCTACATGACCTGTTGAATAAATTAAAAGAATTGGCTGCAATGTAATTTAGAACAGTCTATAAATATTTTAATGCGACAGACACGAAAGCGTGTGAAAGTCTAATGCCTATTTATAATGCACCTTTAATTACATCCACTACTGTTCACGCATATTCAGTCTCGTTCAGTTTTAATCAATTTCATACATACGAGATGGAATCTCTTTGACGCAAGGAGCAAATTTCGCATAATTTGCAAGCGGCGAAATATTTATGGACGTTTTTTGACGACGCGTTGGACAAAAGAATCGGAGGACAAATATCGGTGCATGGAGCAAATTAAAAGCTGTATGCTGAAATCGAAATCCGAGCAGCGGTGGCGCGTTATTGACAGAATTCCGCGAGAGAGAACGCGGTTATATCCGGAGACGCACGAGGCGCGCGAACACCGTGACGTACCGTGAAAATTCAAACGACGAAACGTCCTTCCGGGCGAGCGAAACGTTTTTCTATCGTCGGTACACATCGGCGGCCGACGTGTTGTGCTCGAGGTACATGTGTGTGAAAACCGACTTTTGTGCAGGCTTGCTGGTATCCGCGTACAATGAAACGTACTGTAGGCAGGAGGCAGGCGTTACGACGGTAAATCCGATTCACGCACTATCGACGCGTTACCTAATAGCGTGCTACGTGGATGCAGACAAACGGAGCGGTGTGTCACGTGCTCGACGAGGCACCTGCGCTTACGCAAAGCAAAAATAAAGGTACGCGAGACGAAGTGTAGCAATTGCCACGGGCTGGTACATCGGCGCGGTGGTCTCTCTCTTTCCGTGTCTACTCTATCCGCGCACACTGACGCGAGAGACGCGAAACGCGACGGAGTTCCGTTCACGCAACGCGCGATGCGTTACCTAAGAACGCGTGAACGTGGACTCGTAATTTCAATCGACTATCCCGCTCCCTCTTGTCACCGCTCGCCGCCCTCTGATGCGGCCGATCTATGAAAAACAACATGCACGTGGACGCGCATGTAACGTCGGATCGATCTGCAAACAACGCCAGACAATAATCGCGTTTATCACGCGGGAAAATACCCGGTGAGCACCGAGCGACGAGGGTCACCGTAAAAACCAGCAGCCATAATGAAGTATCAAGCCAGCTGGCTACGATGTTCTCTTTCTTCCTCTTTCTCTCTCTCTCTCTCTCTCTCTCTCTCTCTCTTTCTTTCTCTTTTCGGTGCAATTTCTCCGAGTGCTCCGCCACCGCGTCGCACCGTCCTGCACGCCGTCGTTTCATTCTGTTACAGCGATACTAGACGCGCGTCGCTTTCCCGGACTAACGTCGCCGACGTGGCACGATTACGTTTCCTCGCGGCCAGGAAAAACCGAGCATAATGGGGAACTATAGCGGTGCGGAAGTTTAATGCGCGATTTAATTGCGATCCGCGACGGTTTTACAACGAGAGAGATTTCGACTGACGATAACCTTTAGGATTGATAAAAACGATACATGCTCGATTGTTACTATATGTCACAATTATATTTTTCAAATATCAAATTACCAATTAAATAGACATTAACATTTCTATCCGTGATACGTAGATAGTTCATTCGTAAATTCATTTTAATTCATTTTACGATTTTTATTTTAATATATTTCAATCGTTCTACTTTATTTGCAGCGTAGATTCTTGATACGTTTTACGTTCTATGGCACACCTACGTAAACGCGCGATTCTACGTTCCGATCGATCGAAAGGAAAAACTTGCGTGATTTCGCGGAAATCGCAACAAAATAATTCCGTTCACACAGAGTTGCTCGAGTTGGCGTATCAAATACGCTTCGCTATAGCGCGATCGTGCGAGGTGTATGCGAGAAAAAGAAAAAAAAGTTTGAAAGAGCAAAAATGTATAATTCCTGAGATTGTAAAAAAAACCTGAAAAGTGTCACGAGTAATACAGAGTCAATCGAGTGTTTCTATGCTAAGAACGCTATGCAAAGAAGTAAAAAATGAACGACAAGAAAATAGCGAAGGAATTCATCGTGATCGATCGAGAAACACCATTAAAAGAATGACCGGGGAGATTACGTGCGTTAACGTGCCACCGCACGGCCTTCTTTCATCGGATAAAGAAACTATTGACATTGAGGCAATTCAATTTGCACGATGGATTTGCGTTTAAACCGAGCCGGCGCGACTCGCCGTAAATTCCGGTTCTTACGGCGGCGATCACGAGCTATCAGCCTAGAAATAATTTATCGGCGACGATCGCATTAAAGTAGCTACAATGAAATTATTCCCCGCGGCAGTGCGTCTGTGTATAGATCTACGTGTGCGTATATAGACGCGTGATCCCGCGAGTTGGCTCGCTAGCAAATACTCTCACGCGCGCGCGCGCGCGCGCCCTCTTGAGCACGCACGTGGCTGCCGTGAGCTTACAAATGTAGTCGACAGTCGGACGCAATTAGTATTACCTAAGAATCTATATAGTCAGATGTATCGTAACGACTATATACTGCACTGAAAAGTATACGTACCTCCGCGCGTGGAATCGCTCATCGATATAGCAATGACATTCCGCGCCACCTGGCCGAACGCGTGTTTACTTTTTCTAAATCGAAGTCGCACGTGTCGCGCGTTCGAGGTGCCTTTGGAATTCCGATATGACTCTCCGCGATGATATCGAGCTCCTTTCAATCCTTTCCTCGACATCTGTACAAAAGACAGTCCATTTTTTGCTTTCTTTCTCACTCTCTCTCTCTCTCTTTCTCTCTCTCTCTCTCTCTCTCTTTCTCTCTCTCTCTCTCTTTCTTCTCTTTCTTCAGTAAGAATAATTTAAAAAAAAAGAGGTTAGGGAAGGGTAGACATTTTCCGTTCGACACGAATATGGAAAAATGACAGTTCCGGCTGACAGGGAAGGGATGATTTCTCCGAACGGCACTTGAAAGCCCGGGTGAAACTATCGGGCTTAACGCGGAAAGAAAAATCTGCATATAAATTTTAGAAAAGCATCTTCGACTCGATGTCGCGTAGGCGATGTAACACAAAAGGGAAGAGAAGGGGAAAATACCTGTGACAAATCGGGGCAGAATTGCACGCGAATATCTGTCCCGTCGGTGCATCTCTTTATCTTTCTCTTGCTATCCTCCTCTCTCTTGAGTGCACGCACACGCGCGGTCTTTATCTCTTTCTTCCTCTGTCTCGCGCTATCTTACTTCATCCCACTCTGTCTCTCTCCCACTCACTCCCTCTCACTCTCTCACTCTCTCGCTCTCCGCCTCTCTCTGTCTATCGCGCACGTAAATTCGAGCTACGCCAATCCACACCGTGCGAAATTTCTAATTTCGAGGTCAGCCGTGCGGCAAAGTACGTCCGAAATAATTACCTTCCGTACTGCGTAAGACGTCAATGCGTTTGATATTCTTACACGGCCTCCCCTCCCACCCTTAAACACGGCGAACAAGAGTTTTTTTGGTCCAACGACGCCTATGGCTCTACGAATCGCAAGATCTGCGAGGGAAACGTGCGCCGTCTCTGTATGTGTGGCTGTGCGCGTGAGCGTTTCACACCTGACTACTACGCTAGTCAAGCGAGCGACCGAAGCGACATTAGATATTCGTAAAATAACGATATCGCAGTGAAATCTTCGCGTAAAATAGTTTCGTAATCGAATCAGATTTATCGTGGGCGAATTGTGCACGTGGGCGGTACCGAATCGATTTATTTTGTCGGTAAAGTCTGCGCGGCGAACACGGTAGGTTAGTTGATCGCGGGGCCGAGCGAGCGCTGAGCTGACAGTAGGCCGGCGACGTCACAGTGGGCCGGTTGAGCCTTCCTTCGTTCGATTCTGGCAGGCTCTCTATTCATTTTACATGTAGGAAGGTAAATATTTCTATGCGAGTGTCCATTCGAATTCGTGGCTCCAAGTGCGTGCAATTGTCGCGGCAGCGATCTGTGATTACACGTTTCTCGTTTATATCTATTTCCTTCTTCTTCTTTTTTTTTTTGTTTTTTTTTCTTTTAAAATTTTTCTCCACTTCTGTTTCTGCGACGAAACACTTTCGTCTCGGGGGTGTGAAAAAGAAGTTTTTTTCCTCGTTCGTGCCCGTTTCTGTTACATTGTTTCACGACACTGGCTGCTACTGCTACTGTTGTTGTTGTTGTCGCCGCTGCTGTTTGCTGTCACGAGCGATGCCCGTCGAAAAAAGCAAAGAAACGGAGAGAGAAAGAGGGAGAGAGAGAGAGAGAACACCGCGTTCGACTACGATTCCCTTCGGCTCCATCGTCCGATACGCGAGAAAGAAAGAGAACAGAAACACGGCAGGACACGGAACACGCACTTTGCACCCACGACCAATATCGCTCGTGCACAATCTCGTTGGATTTCCCGTATTTCCCAGACGGTGGGGAAACGTCTCTGTCGTGTCCGAACACAGCGCGGCCGAGACACGTGAAATCCCACGGTTGACAGTTACCGTGGCGCGGACGTCAGTGGATCGTGAATCGTTTCTCACAAATGCACCGTAACCACGTTCGACGTTGATCGACCTTGTGCTCTGTTTAACTTTTGCCAAAGAAATTTCCGAGGCACTCGTGTAGCGTCTGTGATCCGGCGGCAGTTTCTCAATTCCTTCGATACGATCGTTTATCACGGCCGTTGTCACGCTCGTGTGTAGTCGCGAAGTGTAGTCCGCTGCGAACGAGATCGCGCGGTCGTCAATTAACGCGCGTGAATCATTTCCACACGATCCGAAAACCAACTCGGAAATGTTCTTGGCACGAGCGATAGCCTGGCTAGGAAAAATTCGTTACGCCGCGCATCGATACACGAGGACACGTGACTGGTGAAAAGTGATGAAACGAAGTAATCGATTACGTGCGGCAGTGCGCGATTTTATCTCGATATCTCGATTTTTCGAAAGCGTACGTATCCTCGATCGTGCGACGTTTCTCAAGTCGATTGGTTACCGGGTTGGCGCGGGTAGGGGAGGGGTAGGGAGAGGGAAGGAAAAAGGTAAACAGAAGTTAAACGCACTCGTGAAAACAACGTCGGTCGATCCTGACGTAGAGGAAGATTCCCCGTGAAATTTCGTGGTCCGGGGCACGATTCAAGCAAGAGTCGAAGATCGTCGAACGAGGGATCGAAAGAAACGAGTGCGTCGGCGGCACGCATTGTGCAACAGTGTGAGGTTACGCATACGTGACACGATGAAACGCATCATCAACGACGCATCTCTCGGAGTAACAGTCGGAGAAATGTCAGCGGTGACAGCTTTTGAAAAGTTGACAGAAAAATTTATGTTACGAGGTACTCCTAACCTAGCGAGCTTTACCTAACCTATACTTGGCGGCACGGTCTGGCCGCTGTCAAGCGCGCGACAAAGTGAGCAATACGTTCGAAATTACGGGCGAAAATGCCGTGTTTAGAAACGAGCCGTTGGAACGACACGTTGGATCGTGTCGAGTCGAACGAGGAAAAGTACGCGAGGCTGCTGGTGGTACGTTCGAAACGCATCCCGATTGGTGTTGAAGCGAAAACGTGAGGCAAAGAGTGCGTGTTCCGTGAGCCGCCAACGGCGGGACGAAAATATCACACGTGCGCCGAGAGAATAAGCCGAGATTTTTGGAGGACGACGCCAGTCAAGTGGGCGATCGGTGAGGCACCGCTTTTTTGGGTGAGCGACCAAAAAATTAAACAAAAA